TTTGTGAAAGTTTGCGGCCGAGAAGGCGGCTGCAGCTGTTGGGCCGGTGCCCCTCCCTCCGCCCAGCCCGCCCCCCACTCAGCCCACTCGGCCCGGGCGTGGACAGGGCGGTGGAGCCGAGCGAGCGTGGGCTGGGCTCCAGGAGGACGCACGCGGGAGGGACGAGCCCAGACCACGGCGACCTCCGCCCCGGGCCGCAGCCCCTGTCGGATCCCTAGCCGGTCCTCCGGCGTGTCTCCTTGCCCCCGACGTCCCCTCCCCTGACCCCCGAGCAGCACAGGGGGACAGGACCTCGGAGCCCCCTCGGGCGGGTGGCCGGGACGGCAGGGGGCGCGCTCCGCGCCCGGCACCGAGGCTCAAAGCCACTGGTCTTGGGGCCCTTTTCCCTCTGGGTCGTTTCTTTCCAGCCCCATCCATCCGCTCCCCGCTGGTCTCTCTCGGCACCGGCTCTTTCCTTCCATCCTCATTCCCTCCTCCGTCGCGGGCTCCCTTAGTCCCTCGCTCTGGCCTCTCGGGTGATTTCCTCGAGGGCCCACACTATGCCAGGTACTTACCATTCCTCTCACCCTTTTCCCTCCATCTTTCTCCCATCCTCTCCATGCCTCCCATCCTTCCCATCCTTCCCTTCCTCCCACTCTTCCCTGCCCTGCCCTCGTTCCTATCCCTATTCCTATCTGATTATTCCTATTTGTCATTCCTTATCCCGGTGCGCCTCATTCTACACCCCCCCCATTTCTTGCCTGTATGTGTATCCCTCGTCTGTCTGTCTATCTCTGTCTCCCTCGCTCGCTCTCTCTCTCCCTCTCTTCTGCTATTAATTTCCCTGATTGGCTCCCCGGCTCCAGCGCTGCTGATGAGCCCTATTCATTCCCGGGCCTGACACTCTCGACCTGCCCTGGCTGATTGCTGGGGGCTGGCCCCAGGAGCGCTGACGAGCCCCAAGGGTCAGCAGCGCTAATTATCAGCTAATTGCCGATGACTCTGCTCACCTCCCCCATCCTCAGACATTGAAATGGTGGCGCCTTTTACCCTTTCCCCTCCTTCTGATTCCCGGCAGTAGAGGTGTCAATCAGGAGGCAAAAGTCATGGGCACTTTCGCTTGACAGGAGCCTTTGGTCATTGGTCAAGAAAGACTCAAGCCAGGCAAGTCAGTAGAGGAAGACTGACCCAAACCTCAGGACATGGAACAAGCCTGGCCCACTAAAATGGGGGTCATCTGGTCACTGGGAAACTGTTACGCAGGTGGGGCCAGGGGAGCCGAGATTTTTTAAATTAATAGCAGCATAGCCAGGCACGTTTAGGAGGATGATTTGGCTCAGGTGAGGAGGAAAACCTACGCCAAAGAGTCTCAGCGTTTCTCAGCCAACACAGAGGAGGGATCTCTGGGTCTCAGTGACATTTGTTCAAATCGGGAGTGCTGCGTTGGTCTAGTGAACACCACTAATGTCAGGCTATTGCATTAAAACTCAGCACCCTGAAAGACACTGTCACCAGAGTGGGACAGAAGCGGGTGAGACCCAGGAAGGGCGCTCTCTTCAGTTATGCCTGACTGGCACTTCCTCAGGGGTGAAGGGAAAAGAGCAGTTTCTGCCCAGTCCTGATCTGTCTTGGGCTCTACACTAAACTTGGTGAAACTTTCGACAGATGAGTCTGGTGGGCAGATATCACCACGGAGAAAAAAAGAGGTGACTTAACTTAGGTCTGGGGACGCCCAACTCACTACTAAAGTATGAAGATAATTCTTGTATATCCTGGTAAAGATATTTTCCAGAACCCTTTATTAAATTAACCAAGCACTTCACGGTACCAATATGGAGACCAGACTTCAAACTGCATTGTACTTAGAGAGCGGTCAGTACTTGGTTTGATGGCTTTACAGTGGCGGATACACAATAGAGGCTTATTGACTTGATATATTATTGAGAACTTTGGGTTACAATCACTGAAATTAAAGCTGTATGAGCAATAACAACAGTCAAAGTGTGAAGGAAGAGCCATTTTTAAAAGTAACTGTATTCGCTTTTTTTGTATAGGTAATAAAATCAGATAGCACAAAATTCCAAAAGCTCAAAGGACATACACATTGAGACATCTCCCTCCCGCCAGTCCCTTCATTGAAAGGCCACTTCGACAAGCCTGCTACTCTCTCTGTTGGGACAGAATGGATCACGCATTGTCAACGACTCAAGGTTAAAGACCTTCTGATCTTGAAGATAGATGTATGTCACCTAGCTCGAGCCAAGAGCTTATTGCCCGGAACTATACTCAGTAAAGTGGAGTCCTCTGCTCACGCTGGCTCAGAGAGTATAGGCATAAAGCTTGTTGCCAGCAAATCCCAGTGGGCCACCAACTCTTAAATGAAGTGAGTGAGACCCCAGGGACTTTCTATTGCCCTGGTGTGGTGCCTGTTTGCTAGATTCTGTATTTGATATCCAATTATATCCTTGATCTGTCCCCTTGCCACACTGGGGTCATGAAGTGCGACCTCTGCATAGTCCTTGAACTTCAGTAGCTGAACTAAGATAAAAGCCCTCATGTACATGGCAGTGACTGAAGCAGCCTGTTTCCTTCCCAGCCTTTTCATGGACTGCAGAATTGAGGCCATATGGTAAACAGAAAAAAGCGATGACTGGAGTAAAAAGACCTGGAGTTAAGTTCCTGTTCTGACCCCTCACTCGGCCATGTGACCGTGGCCCCTCTTGACTTAAGTTCTCCATCTGTGAGAAAGAATGATTAATATCAAAGAGCTGGTGCAAGGACCAAGTGAGTATGAGGAAATACTTTTCAAAATGAGTTCTTCCTGCACTAAATGAACCTAGAGAGCAGCGTGGTCAAGCATGGAAGTCCCCCAAATTAGTGCCTCTCCGAAAACTTCTTACTGTCTTATCAGTACCACGGACAGAAACTGCGGCTGTCAAATCTGAACAGAGGTGGCTCATTTTTTAACCAAGAGAAAACTCTGATTCTCCTCCTGAATCCCTGAACGGGGCGGAACTGGGAGAAGGCACCTCCCCTCGCTGTGTAAAATGGAATTCCATAAGTGTTTCATGGTCCACGTGCCTGACTTGTCCCATTACTATTCCACCTGCTGGGGAAGTGCTCCTACAAAGGATTTTATTTTGGATCTGCCCGCTCTGCTTGTGCCTGCGTTGGACCCCATCCTCTGGCCTCCCCTTCATGGACTGGAAGCCAGCACCTAGGATGCTAAGAACGAACAACGTATTCTAAAGTCAAAGCCAACAAATCTATCCCTCCGCCTCACTCCTTGGCGGGAGCGAGTCCACTGACCGTGGGCAGCGTCGGGCCCTGTCCGCGGGCACCCTCTGGTGGCAGCAGTGCGCAACTGCGTCACCGTTGGAGAGGCGCAGAGATCGTCAGCGCCCCCTCGCGTTACTCGGGGAGACGCGCCGAGGGCAGAGGAACAGGACCAGGTGAGCTGTCCAAGGACCAAAGCGCTGGACGCCGCTGGGTACTTCACTGTGAGCGCACTGGTTGGGCGCGGGGACTGTACACGGGACTTTTTATACTATGCACGCGTGTAGGTTCATGTATATTTGTTGTGTTCAGGTGCTCAAACCCTGTAATCTGTGTGTTAAACGTGTGCCGGTTGTGTGTGCGCACATGTTACAGGCAGGAGGTTGGTGGTGGGGAGGTCCGCGCCTCCAGTGCGGGGCGGAGTCCTCACGGAGGCGTGAAATTGGTTTGGAGCAAACACATTACGGAAAGCAATTACCGGGGAGAGGTTCTGGGCCCGCGGGACCCGCAGCCAGGAGGCTGGGGAGGAAGCTCCCTGGCTTGCAAGAGTGTCTCTGGATGTCTGACCCGAGACAGGACCTTCCTAACGCTCGCCCGCTAAGGGGAGAACTCGTCAAGTTGGGCAGCAGCCCCTTGAACTGACTGATGATGTCCGCACCGCCTTCCTTCCCTTCCCGCCTCCCTAACAGCTCCCAGGTGCCCGCCCTTACTGCTGGCCTCCCTCTTCGCCCCCTCCGTTCCTGCTCCCACGTCTTCTGCATTCCCTGCATCGCCCCCGTGTTTGAGCTAAGTATTCACACACACTTGTTTTTCAGACTAGACGGAAAATTCACTGAGGGCAGGAACGGGGTTCATTCACAGCTGTATACCCAGTGCCTAAAACCTGGGTCTCGGGAAGCAGGCAATGCTGTGGATGGGATTAAGCAGAATGTTCACCAAAATGCATAAACAGGACTCCCTCGGGATAGTCATCCCACGGAGAGTCAGGAACCTCTCAGAACAGAGCTTTCAACATCTTTCGCAATGCCACACTGGTATCCCCAGACCTGCCCTTGTCCCTGGATTCCAGACTCACGGATCCAGATGACCTCGGAACACAGCCTCTGAGATGTCCACAGAACTTCCGATTTCCCCCACCCCTGCCCCATCCTCGTCTCCGCCACCTGAGAGGTGAGCACCCCCATGCGGCCCGCAGTTCAGCCAAAGCGCGGGGGGTCGCCCTGGGCTGGGCCTTCCTTCAGCCCCAGGGCCGCCCACCGCGGGTCCCACGGGCCTGGGCCACGGCCTCCCGCCTCTGCCCGCACCCCACGCCTGCAGGAGCCGCCCCATGCTGTCTGGTTCTCCCTCCTCCCCCACCCCGGCCACCGGGCAGCCGGAGCAACCTCCTGAAACCGAAATCAGTGCATGTCACCCCCCAGCTCTTCCCCGCGGGCTGGCTCCTCTCCGTCATTCAGGCCTCGGGTTAAACGTCACCTGCTCAAAGAGGCCACTGTCCGGCACCGTCCGAGTTCCTCCGAGGGGGCGGCTCACGCCCACCCTTCCTGCCGTCCGCTCGGCGCCCCTTGACGGGACCGCCAGGCCCCAAACAGAGTGGACCTCACGGGCACGTCTCGCGCAAGCCGCGTTCCGGCGAGGCCCACTCACCTCCGCCCCGCTCCGCCTCGGGTCCTCACTCGACGCAGGGTCCGGTTTAGCGCACTCGCGCCCCTGTCGCCGCCGCCGCCGCCGCCGGCGCCGCCGCCTCGCGCCCTTCCGGCCCCGCCCCCGCCGCCTCGCTCCCAGCAGTTGGCGGGAAAGGCGTGAACTCCGGCGCGTGCGCACTCCGCGGCCCTGGGAAATCTGTCCGGCAACCCTTGTCGTCACGGATTGCAGTGCATTTGATTGGCTGCTCTGCGGCTCCGGTCAACTCCACCTCGCTCTGCCCGCTCCTGGCTGCTGGGGCCCCCTGCAGGTCCTTAATATCCTGGTACTGCAAAGACCCTCAGAGACTCTCTCCTGTCGTGTTTTACAGCTGTGGAAACGAGCCCAGAGAGGGGAAGAGATTTATGTTCCACAAGTTAATGGCCAAGCCAGGGATGTAACTCTCAGCTCAGCTCCTGACACCACAAATGAAGAGAGGCGGGAACGAGGTGTTCATTGGATGCTCTCTGACCCGTGGGACAGGCAGTAAGGAGAGTTATTTAGGTTTTGTTTTTTTCTAAACCTGGGTCTTCCACTCTCTCCCGAACCATGGGTACCCCTCCATGCTTGCATGCACTTTCCAGATGGCCTTTCTGCCCTTCACCGCGCCCCCACCCCCGCCACACCCCTCCCAGGCTGCCTTTCCTGCTCTGTCCCACCTTCTGCACAGCCATATCCACTGAGGCTCTGGCCCGACCCAAGCCAACCACTGGCTGGTTGACCTTTAGGCCTTTCTAGACACTGTCACCTGGCAGCCATTCTGCCATATCATGGGCCAGAGGGGCAGGGATCTGCCTGGGATCCCTCAACAGCTGGTGAATGACAAAGGGGGAAGGCGATACAGCTGGGGTGGATCCAGGGGGACCCCATGAGTCTGCTCATCCTGAGTCCACTGCGAGTGGGCCGGCTCAGAGGCGGGCCTGTTGGAGAGAGCACCAAACAACATGAGCCTGGAGAATTTAATGCATGGACAGGGTTTGGATGGGCCAGAGACCTCCGGGGACCCCCAAAAGAAGTGTATCGCATGCCACAGTCCTAGCTCTCTGTCCATCAAACGTGGCCTGTCCGCCTTTCGTTGGTGGGAATGGCAGTATCTGCTCTGCCAGTGGAGATGGACCACCTCGGCCTGAGTTGGTTCACTTCAGTCTCGGGTTTGGGGCACGGTGAAAAGTGGGCCAGTATCCCTGGGGCCTGGAGCATCTGCTTGTAGGCTGTCGCAAAAGGCAGTGGACATCTGGAAGGAGATGCATGCATTCAGAGATGTCCAGTGGTCTGGGAGGCTAGCTGGTTCTGGCCGGGCTCTGCCCCC